AGAAAGTTGCTCATCATGCAAGAACACTTGAAGAAGGAAGAGAATTAACCGAAGAAAAAGCAGGGAACAACACCACTGAAAAAGTCAACGGTTCGGACCAAAGTAAGTATGGAAAGTATTTCCAGTTCTTTGGTTCTTTCCTAGAAGGTAAGCAACACGGAAGAGAGTTAACCGAAGAACAAACAGGTGGAAAAATCAAAAATTTGTATGAGAAATTTGCTAAATATATCCCTTACCTCAATGGTAAAGATCATGGAAGAAAACTACTAGAAAATAAAGCAGGAGCGAATGCCGAAGCTCAGAGCAGTGGAGAATTTAAAGGTTTATTCAAATATCTCTTCAACTTCAATGGTGGTGAAAAAGTTCGAATGGGTGCTGCTAGGCAGATCAAAGTCGCCGGAAAAAATTGATTCAGGTCACTGAACTGGGCACATACATTATAAACTATTTTTCTCTAAGGAAGCACAATATCATGCAATTCATCAAAACAGATGAAGGAAGCCATGAGTTCATCTTTATTTAGCTTTTTTTTTTCTCCCTTTTTTTTATTATTGTGAAAGAAAATGACATGGGATGCTTATCTATATATAACTAAATGAAACTTGCGGTATCTCTACCTAATAATTTTCTTATCACATAATTAAACAATAGGCCGAATAACTATAGCTTCAATTGGTGACCACCTTTTATAGAAAAAAAGATGATGAGTTTGTTATTATTCAAAGTTGATACCAATTAAGTTTATTTTTTTGTCAAACTAATTTTTATGGACCCTACCACATTCCTCTATGTTCCTCATGATTAGAGGAATTACCGAAAGAGTATTTTCCTCTTCTTAAATTGATGAGGAACGTTTGTTCCTAAATGTTGAATTTTTTTTTTGAATTCAATTCCTTAAATGAAAATTTATTCAATTTTTGTTCTTTTCATTTTGTTCATTTTCATCCTCACAAATTGAAGCATATATATATTTTCTTCTGCCATTTTCTTTAATATTTTTACTTTAATACATCTTGTTATTTTAATAATAAAAAATTGGCAATATTTAGTTTTAAATTTTTTTTAGTTAATAAATAGTTCTTATTAAAATTCAATTTTAAATTTTGGTTTTATTTATTTGAGTGCTATTTTAAATTAATATTTAACGTAAAATTAGATGGAAACTATCGTAAACATGTTTGTGGAAATCGCTGTAAAACTTTTGTTGAAAACTTCCGGTAATTCAGTGTCCTCTATAATTTATCAGAAATTTCTCACAAATTCTGGAAAAACAAATTTCGACAAAATAGTACTAATGAATGTTTTCGACTAGTTTGTTGGGAGTAGCCATTTTCAGCCAAAATATGGTTGTTTTTGTTGTTGGCGTCTGGTATATTTTCTTGTGGTGTAAGCACAAAATAAGATGTGCTAATAGTTGCACTGACAAGATAAGACTAACATTGTCGTCAAGACAAAGGGCATAGGCATAGACGCAATACAGAGGAATAATCATTTATGTATTTCCAATGCCATGCACTGTTATAGTCTTAAATAAGAGAATTAATCATCAAAATAAGAATTTAGGAACACATCCATCAGTTCTTGTTCTATTATAGCTTACCTCTTCATACTCTCGATTCTTCCTCACTACCTTCAATACTTGCAGCACTTTAATATAAAAAAAAATTCCATAAAAATAAATCAACTAAATTTTATTAAAATTTTTAATATTCAAAATTATTTTATATGCATTTTAATATTTTAACTAGTTATTTTGTTCATTTTAATACAAAAACTATTAAAACTGTGTCTATTTTAATATCCAAACATTATTTATTTTATTAAAAATAATAAAGTGTTTCAATTGATTTTTTTAAAAATGAATAAAAATTTTAAAATCTCAGAAAAATGTAATTGAGTTTTGTGTTTGAGAAATAAAATTAACTAAATTTTGTATAATCTTAAATTTGTATTAAAACTTGTAGGTTTTAACTATTGATGTTAGTTTTTTTTCTCAAATAAACATCAATTTTTTTCCTCCAAAATTAAATTTTTAGAAATTTAAAATTTCTCCATATTTTATTTACTTTCTGTCCTAAATATTAATATAAATTTCAAAATCTTTTATATTTTTCTTTGATTTTGGAGATTTGTTTATTTATTTTTGAAATTTATTAATATTTTAATTAATATAAACAATGGTTGGATATCAAAAGAGGTATTATTTAAAAAAAAATGTGTTAAAGCGAGCGAAAGAATTAGATGGATATTAACTGAGCACGAAAAATTTAAATATTAAAAGGTTTAATGAAATTTGTTAGAGTATTTTTATGGAATTTCCTCATATAACAACTATGACTTTTGAAGTACTTCCCGTCACATTTGAAGCAGATACAATCCCTTCTTTTGAATTACACTCATTTGTGAATCTTTGTCTAGGTCATTGATAAGCCGTGTCATAAAACAGGAAAGATACTTTTTTTTGTAAACTAAAAGGGTTAAACCCGGGTCTATTAAAGACACAGATCTAAACCCCAGGTGGAGGTACAGCCCACGGATATACCCTCTCCCGGGCATTCAAATGGGTCGAAAGCAATAACCTATATCAGTGTGGCCAGTGAAGTTTGAATCCGGGTTCACCTTATTGGGTTTATTCCCTCAAGCGCCACTGGTTTAATGGGAAGGCTACTTGATACATTTTATTTCAAAAGAACATCATTTCTTAAATAACATTTAATCTGATAAGGAGGAAGGAGCCACCATTATCGATCTGTTAGAGAAGTATGCACTCATATATAAAGAAACTAAAATCATAACACGAAAAACCTAGGTAACAGTGTTTTTTTTGTTTTTTCTTCTAGGTAACAGTTTCCATTTATTTCATTCCAGATAGGAATTTTTGTTTTATTTGTTTTAACTTCAGTAACGATTTGATTGAAACTGATATGATTTTTCCTCCTATTTCTTGTATCATTCACTAAAACTCTTACAAAAGAAAAATTAACAGACTTCCATCAATATCTTATTGTTTGTTGTTTTTCTCTTTCTCATGACTAACCATTTTTGTATCCTATAATTAGCTTATAAAAATTCAGAACAAAGTATATATACCTTCCCAAGATCTCAAATCTGAAGGCACTTCCTTCTTATATTTCTCTCCCTTTTAGTTTTTCTTTAACATTTACTTGCCATAAGCAATACAACCATGGCAAGGATCTCTTTGTTGTTATCTTTAGCCTTCTCTCTNCCAAGACCAAATATGCCCTAACAACCAGAGCTATTCTTTCAGTGGAAGCTAGTATTAGCGGTAAAGTCGATAAGAAAACTTCCTTGAAGCTAAAGGAAAGCTGTGTTGGTTTTATAAAAGGGCTTCGTCATATTCAAAATGTAATCTCAAAGATCTCAGCCAAACATAATTACAAGGCTGATGCTAGCATCAGCTTACGTGAATCGAATAAGATTGGTGCTGCTATACTATATTTCAGGAGTTCGATCACTGATTTCATGGATCTAGTTAACGATTTTGAGGAACAGAAGCTGAAGAAAGTTGCTCATCATGCAAGAACACTTGAAGAAGGAAGAGAATTAACCGAAGAAAAAGCAGGGAACAACACCACTGAAAAAGTCAACGGTTCGGACCAAAGTAAGTATGGAAAGTATTTCCAGTTCTTTGGTTCTTTCCTAGAAGGTAAGCAACACGGAAGAGAGTTAACCGAAGAACAAACAGGTGGAAAAATCAA